TCGCTGGACAGTCACAATCAGGCTTCGCGATAGAAGTTCGTAGAGTTTATCGGTGGGACTAGCATGTAACCAATACTTGTAACGTTCGACGTGATCCGGATGGCTATGGTCACTTGATGCTATCGGTCTCCGAAGTGAATTTCAGTAATATTACAAGAGGGAAAGCGTCGCCAAGCTTAGACCTATTATCCTTGATATTTTTGGACAAGTGATAATAGCATCGACCTGAATTAAAGAACACCGAATTTAACGTATGACATTTTGCTATATAACGAAGCTACCATTTCGCACTCCAGGAAGGTTATCTCTGCAGGCCGCCAAAGCTCCCTGGTGCGCGTCATGAACACAGAAGTTAACAACGTCCCTTAGATCACGTTCTCCCATAGTCAGGGCCCGGACGAGAAGATCCAAGCGCTTCAACATAAAGTCATAGACCTCGGTGCATTCTTCATCGAGGATAGCAGAGAGGAACGGAACGAAGGTATGCCTGTAGCTTTTTTTAACGGAGTCGTACCTGCAATGTATCGTACACGTGCAACGTCCCTTTTGCCGAAAATTCTCTTCGGACCTAATGTGTGCTAAGCAGGGTAGCTTATAATCACTCACCAAATGCGACTTGTGCCAACCCAGGCGATCTTTAATCCATCTCGTAAAACTTTCTGTTGAACATCCATGTATAATGGGAAACCATCATGCATCGATTGGATGAACCAAAGAAGGGATGATAACATGCCTACAACAAATGTCATTCTAAAAATGAACAGCTCATGCTGAGTACAACGTGCTACGCGAAGTCAGTTCTCCACTTACTTGCACCACCAAATACAGCTGCCCAGTGTTTATCACCCCAGAATCCATCATGATAGACGAATTCAGTTGGAAGTTCCCAACCCTCACGGATGCACTTCATCATATCATCGGTCAGACGGCAGCCAGCAAACGCAGCTTCGAGCTCGTAATAATTATTTATATGTTGCACAGTACTTCCCTTTCGAGTAGGTGCTGTGTCGAGTAGGCGCTGTATCTGTGCACCATTGAAATTCGTTTGCTCTAGCTGCATATCCAGAAACCGAAGGGATATGTGTAAGCCTAACCTGTTGTCTATTTATCCTCCCGACATAGTTTGGGAAGTAGATCTCCAAGTTCACGAGAATCTGCGAGGCACTCAGGTGGGAAACCGTTCCTTCTCGCATAACAAAGTCGATGATATGATGAGGATGACGCTGTCGTACGCGCACTGGTGCCTCACCATGATGTTCCCCTGAAGGGGTGACGACTGAGTAATCACACTGAGCGATGAAACTACTGAGATTACCATGCTTCTCGACAGTGACTAGGTCTCCAATCTTCGACACCTTGTACTTTCGCGGACAACCGTCATGTGCACAACATTTATAATAAGCGACCCCTCTGGAATCGTTTTTGTTTTCGTTTATATAAAGGTCATTAAGCTGTAACCTCATCATCGCATCGTCATAGACACTCATCCCAGGGCGTGGTTGGAATCTGTCGAATGAGCGTATCTTGGTCCAATCGAGTGCCGCGGGCATGTCTTCACAAACAAATTCAGCTAACCATACAATTGTTACAAGCGAAAGTATGGTTCGTTTCACTGATAACGATAGTCGATATTGCAAAAATGATTCGAGATTGCGAAGTCAATGAAGCGAGCGGAGCTATGTGTACTGCAATTCGAGTCAACTGCGTGTGGCCGTGCAAGTTCTCTTCAACGGCGTAGAGTTTAAACACGGCAAAAGAACGAATCGAGGGCTACATGAACGAGTAAACATACAGGAAGAGCGAAAACTCATACGTACCGTATGATACGGTGCGTTCCCTACGATATATGCATGAGCATCTTTTGCACGGAAAATACCGAGGCTCGGTGACCGAGCCTGGGATCCGAACTGGGCCAGTTCGGATCCCAGGCTCAACTGGTGACTCAGACTTGGTTACAGAGCCGAGCTGCTCGCCGCGAGCACGGAAGACTGTCTGAATATCAAGTTTTAGAGGGTGCTCGTTGACCACGTGACGTCGCCCACTGTGGGCCGCCAACAGGGTGTATGACTCAGCAAGGTCTGGCACGTCATCAGGAAAATGCAGTTACTTCAAACACCATGCCATACGCTAGTGATAGAAACGGGTTGAAGCATGGAAACTCCCAGCATGAGTACAGTGTATTCAATACACGAGACAGCATCGTAAACGTCAATGAAACACATAAGGAATGTCATACTACCCGTATTTTTCACGATTGTATCTTACGTTCACAAATTCTATTGCTGATTTTGTTTCCACTTCAAGACGAGCATTTGGGAAAAGCCGCCATTTCGCTAAAGTCTCATCTCGCAATTTTCTGGTAACACTACCATCTACCCCGAGGATTCCTTCAAATACAATTTTAGAGTTGATTTTCATCCGATAAGTAGCACCACTATTCTCTGGAAGAGTTGTCGTAACATGCAGGCCTAACTGACCATTGTTAGACCTTACGAACTCTGTTGCAATTTGCGCGGTATTCTGTCTACGACATCTCCTCTTTATGGATTTCGACGGAAGCATAGTTGTGGTAGACTTGCTCTTCTTCCGAGAATCGAGAGATTCGGTATTCTTTTCAAGGAAGAAGTCTCCGATAGTCTCTGATGTCGATGCTTCGCTGTTCCGCTGACTCGAGGAGGGTCCACTTCTGCTGGTACTGACAGTTTCCTGATACAACGCCAATTGCAGAGCATACTTCCCGCAATCATTTCCGGTATACATGCGATCGTGTGGTTGAGTTGTACTCACAATTTATATCGATGAAGTTTCACGATTAGAACCGTTAGCCTTGATGCATCATTCGGGTTTGAATTTCAACATAAATTTCAGCAACACGCAACGGTAACCTTTCCATAAGCTCTACCTCCAGTCGCCTCATCTTGTGCGTAGAATCATTGCTTCCCTTCTCGTCAGCAAGCTGTTCAGTGAATTTCTTTCGAGCAAAGCGATCCCCTGAAAACTGAACGTGTCTAGCAGACTTACTACCGCCCTAATTACTCTCAGCTTCCTGTTGTATCTGCTCCTTTTCTCTCTGAACAGTCTCCAGCTCGGTTTGTACTTGTATGAGCTGCTCATTCCCCTCCTGAACTTGGCTCCTTGAAGCCTTCACATCTTCCTCAGCCTGGATCCTGGCTGATCTTTCTTTTTTAAGTTCCTACAATCAATAGTGACAGGCATCGCGACCTCTTACGACTGCTATGTATGTAAAAAATACGCACGTTAGTCGGTATTCCCCAGAATCACCTCCATCAGTTTCGTCAATTTATAGTTAATAGAGATCAACCGCAAGAACTCCCAGAAATGATTTTGGTGTACAGGACCCAGGAAGAGTTTCCCAAAATTTCGTCAAAATTTTCATCTTCTCTTCGAAACATGTAGTGAACCATATGCATATTTTCGCACACTGCCTCTACCAACCATCACTCCCTTCCATTAACGTACTCAATTCAAGGAGATACTTCGACATCGGGGCTACATCATTTGACATTTATTCAGCCACACTATCATGCCATAACTGGAGCATCATCTACGATTTCAGCTATGAGCTTCTCAAACTTGACCAAACCCTCATCGACACTATCCTCTGGTCGTGGCCCGGGGTCTCGATACACCAACTGGTCCTGACCACAAAAACACACACACCGTGTAGGAAAATATACACATGATCAACTGCTTATGACTACTCTCGGGAAATTAACGCGGATTTTTCACACTTGCAAGTTCTATGAAATTTACCATAACACAGTGTTGGAAGCTCCTGAGTTCAGCTGAGTAAACCGGATATATACTCCAAATTGAAATGGGTCCGTTTTACTCAGCTGTTCTTTCTCCAATACTTAACACGTGCTCAGTGACACACACGATTCGTTAAGCATATAACGAAAAACTACAATCCCATGAACGAAATTACTCTCATTCCAAATCCAAACAATAGATACTAAGTGATCCCTACCTCATGCCCAGCCAAACAAAGCGTAACCGTTTCGAAATCAGCGATCTTCTTATAGTCAACCACAAATCTGATGTCATCCGGCTCAAGCTCCCTTGCTGCTTCGAAGTCCTCAGCCGCCTCGTCAAACATCTTCAAGGCCTTAAAGCTGAATGCCCTTCTAAACAACGCTCGAGAGTTCAGCGGTTGCCACCGTAGAACCTAACGACCATTCGACGCGACGATCGCTATCCGGTTCTATTTTTCCGTTGCTATCGAGACACTTCCGCCATTGATAAAATACAAGTTTGCAAGACTCAACTATACAATAAGGTCATCTTCATGGACATTCAGCAATGTTGGAGGACTATATCTTCGCTTTCCTCACTAACTATGGAAGTTTACATACAAATTCGAGTAGAAGTGTACAAAAACATTGAGAATCTTCCAAAATTTCACACAAGTAGTTGGCAATGCGCATATTTCCACACACTGTCACTCTACCCATCAGATGTGTGTCCTATTCTACCCAACCACTAAAGTAGAATGCAAAATACAAGGAAAGGTAGTCATACAAGTTGATGGCAATACATTAGATTTGGAACAAGGCTATGTGGCTCTTAGTCATTGTGTATTGGGATCCATATGGATATAATTACATGATAAAGATATCATATGTTAACTTATGAATATATATAAGTAATAATAGCAATAACAAATAACAATATACGATCACCTATATCTATATCTATTTATAATGAACAGGTTATCGTAATAATAATCATAAATAAATAGTAATATTAATATCTTTAAAGTACACGTGATTAATCTGTCCCCACAACTCTCACCTCGCAAAAGTCCTTTAGAGCCTTCTCATGCTCCCCACAGTTCTGTAGGGCTTTCGCATTCTCATGATAGTAGTGTGGTCTCGGCGGCCCGTGGTTCGACAGCAGATGCTCTATTGCTTTTGTAAAGGCATACACTGCTCGCTGGGGACGACTACCAATATTCGCCTGACAAGCTCAAACCATACAAGTTCGAGACCGCATACCACTCCAATTGCAGATCATACGGTTAGCGATGGTATTGCCCCTTCGACAACACTACTACGGCATTCCCAAGTCAATTTAACATTTTACCGGAAATTCCGGGTAAGATGTATTGGTATATTATCAAAATGGTAAATTATCGGAATTCTGATAGTTTACCTACTTTTCTGGGGGGAAAATACAAATTTTTCAACTTTTTACTGACAGTTTTTCATGAATTTTGCCAAATTTCAATGAGATAAAATGAGATAGAGTTGTAACGATGATCTGTCAGTTCGTTGTTACCTGTAAAGTTGTCTACCGTGTTGGTAAATTCTTCATATTTGCAAGTCAGTCGATCTCCTCCCCTAAGCCAGGATAAAGCTGTCCTAGAGTCCGTGAAGAACCGTAAGCTAAGATCACCGCAGTAGGGCACCAGCGCATCACAATAGGTGAAGGCCAGAGCAAGAGAGTAGGCTTCTTGATGATTTTGATGCCAGCAAACTTGGGGGCCGCGCCAGCACTTGACCTTCCCGCACAAGGGGACCTTTTTGCCGGAGGTGGACTCGAGCCATATCCAATAGCCTGGACCATATGGGGAAGAGTCCGAATGGACTGTCACCGAGGAGGCCGCGAAGCTCACCGAGTGCTGACAGGGCTGTGACCGAGTTTCCAACACCTGCGACGCGACCTTCATAGCAGCAGCCTCCTCCGAATTGAGCGCCACTTGCTCGTCCCAGGTACTGTCCTTCCATCGTCCAGCTATGCGCCGTACCAGATCGGCCGCTAGACAGCTCTCAGGATGAAGACCGAGTACATAGTACGAGGCGGACCGCCGGCGAGGCGGAAGCACTGTCGTTTGCTCGCCGTCGAGCCGGGAGGGTAGTCGATATTAGTCTCAGCGCCTGGTACGACACACCGGAGCTCCACCGTGTACTGTACACGTCACGTTTGCATGCGTGCAGATCC